ATTCTTGATTAACTTGTATAAAGTCTTAGGCCAAAACATGATGAATTTGAAGAAAGTTAGTTTCCTAAATTCATAAGGTTAGTCATAAATTATAAGAACTAATATGAAATGTCATAAGTAGATACTGAGCCATGTTTTATGACATCTCTGAGATATTTAATGAAAGGACCGTATTGCACTTAGAGGCTTATCACTGAGGGGCTTTGTCAAACACTTTCATTGACTTTCTAATATTTGGGTGGTCATGATATGGTGCTAAATACAGCTCTTGATCTATAAATATAAATCAATTATCAAATTGATATTTAATTATGATTTATATTTATTGCCAACATGTTAAAAGCCTAATGGGAAACTCAAATTAGGTGACATGATTGAGAATAAATGAGGATAATCAATTAATTTAGACTTAATTGAAATGTACCAAAATAAAATAGAAAAATTAATTAAGTTCACAGAGACTTAATTGAATAAAAATACAAATGTTGTATCTAGGGTTACTACTTAGTTTGGCTATATAAATATGTTATGTTAGCCAATTAAAACTCTAATCCTGAAGCCATTTCTTAGTTGATTCATAAAAATAAGAAAAGAGAAATAAGTTTTCTTTATTTGACAAAAATAAAAAATTGAGTTTAACTAGGATTTGTGACCTTCTATTTTTCAGAAAACAAAACTTGCTAACATAGGTAAATAAATCCTACCTTTGAGAATGTCTTATTTGGTTACTGTATTGATTACTGTTAGAGGCCAAACACTTGGGTGGCTGACGATTTGACAAATTCTAAAGGTAAAGATGCAAAGATTTTGGCTACAAGATTTTAGGTTGTCTTATTCTTTTTTTTTGGGTTTCTTACTTCATCACAAGCTTTTTGGATTTAATTGGCTTTTGATTAAGATATCTAGAGTAAAGTATGTAATACTTGAAATTATGAGTGTTCATAACTAATTTGAAAATTGCATAAAAAATGCACACAATTGATCCTAAGGGATTAGATTGTTTATTTGATGAAATGTATATTTTATTTTTTCGTTGTGTTATGCTTTTAATTTATTGATTAATTTCATGTTTGTGTATGAGGTCAAAACTTAGCAGTGGTATTAGAGCCTTTGTTTGATCTTTTCCATGTAATTTTCATGTTTGATTCTTGGTGATAATCAATAGGATTGATTTGTATGTTGATTTGGTGTATATCGGTTTTGAAGGCTTTCTTTAAAATTTGTTTGTCTATTTTAATTCAATCTCGACAACATGTTAGTAAGTCATTGAAACATGTTTTAAAAGGTTTAAAATCATGTTTAATTGAGGAATTAATGAATGGATTAAAAGGCTAAAAAAGTCAAATTAAAACTGAATAGTTTTGAGGTGTTTTGGAGACTAATGTACCAATTATTCTTGCTAACATTGGGCAAGCGTTATGAGTAGTTTTCTAAATTGTTAAAAATTAGTTTTATCAAATTAAATTACTGCATATTTCGATCAAACCTAATTTTGTATGAAAAAATTCATAAAAATCATTTTTTCGGGTTCCAAAACAACAAAAATTCCATGCAAAAAATTTTTGGCAGCTACGATCAGTTTTTGGTGGCTTAATTCTCCATGAATTTTGTGTTACAGACATGTTGAAAATTTTTGGCAGCTTTGTTCATTAGTTTGACTTATGATTTATGGAGTTTTAAGAGCACTTAAATGCCATCTATTTTAATTTTTGGTGATTCATAAAAATAAATATTGTTTCCTACTTTGAAGCGAATTCCTAAAATTAAGAATAGGATTTTAATTTTAGGTGATTCATAAAGTATAGGAAATAGTTTCTACTTTAAATTGAATTCTTAAAATTAAGGATAGCATTTTAATTTGGAAATTCATAGAAAATAGTTATCTACTTTAAAAGGTGATTCCTAAAATTATGTGATAGCAATGAACTTTTCTTAAAATTTTTGGTTTGACTAGAAGTTTCCAAAATATGCTAAGTCGCCATTTAAGTAACTTGAACAACATACAATTTAAGAAACTAATCCGTATTCTAAATGTTAGAAATTAAGATGTTGTCTTAGATACATTTTAGGAAGCTTACTTAAAATAAAAAGATTCTCAAAATTAAAAGGAGTTTTAATTATAAAAAGAATTAAAATGGAACGTTTTAAATTGGAAAGTTTTATTTCAATGGATACGTATTTAAGCAAAAAGAGGAAAAGGTT